TGTTGAAAGGGTGTAAGGGCATGTTTGAAGGTGTAAGGGCATGTTTGAAGGTGTAAGGGCATGTTTTTGAAGGGCATGTTTGAAGGGTGTAAGGGCATGTTTGAAGGGTGTAAGGGCATGTTATGAAGGTGTAAGGGCATGTTTGAAGGGTGTAAGGGCATGTTTGAAGGGTGTAACGGGGCATGTTAGAAGGGTGTAAGGGCATGTTTGAAGGGGTAAGGGCATGTTTGAAGGGTGTAAGGGCATGTTTGAAGGGTGTAAGGGCATGTTTGAAGGGTGTAAGGGCATGTTTGAAGGGTGGTAAGGGCATGTTATAAGGGTGTAAGGGCATGTTTGAAGGGTGTAAGGGCATGTTTGAAGGGTGTAAGGGCATGTTTGAAGGGTGTAAGGGCATGTTTGAAGGGTGTAAGGGCATGTTTTGAAGGGTGTAAGGGCATGTTTGAAGGGTGGTAAGGGCATGTTTGAAGGGTGTAAGGGCATGTTTGAAGGGTGTAAGGGCATGTTTGAAGGGGTGTAAGGGCATGTTTGAAGGGTGTAAGGGCATGTTGAAGGGTGTAAGGGCATGTTGAAGGGTGTAAGGGCATGTTAGAAGGGTGTAAGGGCATGTTTGAAGGGTGTAAGGGCATGTTTGAAAGGGTGTAAGGGCATGTTGAAGGGTGTAAGGGCATGTTTGAAGGGTGTAAGGGCATGTTTGAAAGGGTGTAAGGGCATGTTTGAAGGGTGTAAGGGGCATGTTTGAAGGGTGTAAGGGCATGTTGAAGGGTGTAAGGGCATGTTTGAAGGGTGTAAGGGCATGTTTGAAGGGTGTAAGGGCATGTTTGAAGGGTGTAAGGGGATGTGTGAGGGGAGAAAGGACATGTTGAAGGGTGTAGAGGGCATGTTAGAAGGGTGTAAGGGCATGTTTGAAGGGTGTAAAGGGGCATGTTTGAAGGGTGTAAGGGCATGTTTGAAGGTGTAGGGGCATGTTTGAAGGGTGTAAGGGCATGTTTGAAGGGTGTAAGGGCATTGTTGAAAGGGTGTAAGGGCATGTTAGAAGGGTGTAAGGGCATGTTTGAAGGGTGTAAGGGCATGTTGAAGGGTGTAAGGGCATGTTTGAAAGGTGTAAGGGCATGTTTGAAGGGTGTAAGTGCATGTTTGAAGGGTGTAAGGGCATGTTTGAAGGGTTGTAAGGGCATGTTTGAAGGGTGTAAGGGGCATGTTTGAAGGGTGTACGGGCATGTTTGAAGGGTGTAAGGGCATGTTTGAAGGGTGTACGTGCGAATTCCAAGGACGTAAGGGCATGTTTGAAGGGTGTAAGGGCATGTTTGAAGGGTGTAAGGGCATGTTTGAAGGGTGTAAGGGCATGTGAAGGGTGTAAGGGCATGTTGAAGGGTTGTAAGGGCATGTTTGAAGGGTGTAAGGGCATGTTTGAAGGGTGTAAGGGCATGTTTGAAGGGTGTAAGGGCATGTTTGAAGGGTGTAAGGGCATGTTTGAAGGGTGTAAGGGCATGTTTGAAGGGTGTAAGGGCATGTTTGAAGGGTGTAAGGGCATGTTAGAAGGGTGTAAGGGCATGTTTTGAAGGGTGTAAGGGCATGTTTGAAGGGTGTAAGGGCATGTTTGAAGGGTGTAAGGGCATGTTTGAAGGGTGTAAGGGCATGTTTAGAAGGGTGTAAGGGCATGTTTGAAGGGTGTAAGGGCATGTTTGAAGGGTGTAAGGCATGTTTGAAGGGTGTAAGGGCATGTTTGAAGGGTGTAAGGGCATGTTTGAAGGTGTAAGGGGCATGTTAGAAGGGTGTAAGGGCATGTTTGAAGGGTGTAAGGGCATGTTTGAAGGTGTAAAGGCATGTTTGAAGGGTGTAAGGGCATGTTTGAAGGGTGTAAGGGCATGTTTGAAGGGTGTAAGGGCATGTTTGAAGGTGTAAGGGCATGTTTGAAGGGTGTAAGGGCATGTTTGAAGGGTGTAAGGGCATGTTTGAAGGGTGTAAGGGCATGTTGAAGGGTGTAAGGGCATGTTTAGCAAGGGTGTAAGAGGGCATGTTTGAAGGGTGTAAGGGCATGTTTGAAGGGTGTAAGGGCATGTTTGAAGAGTGGTAAGGGCATGTTAGAAGGGTGTAAGGGCATGTTGAAGGGTGTAAGGGCATGTTAGAAGGGTGTAAGGGCATGTTTGAAGGGTGTAAGGGCATGTTTGAAGGGTGTAAGGGCATGTTTGAAGGGTGTAAGGGCATGTTTGAAGGGTGTAAGGGCATGTTTGAAGGGTGTAAGGGCATGTTTGAAGGGTGTAAGGGCATGTTTGAAGGGTGTAAAGGGCATGTTTGAAAGGGTGTAAGGGCATGTTTAGAAGGTGTAAGGGCATGTTTGAAGGGTGTAAGGGCATGTTTGAAGGGTGTAAGGGCATGTTTGAAGGGTGTAAGGGCATGTTAGAAGGGTGTAAGGGCATGTTTGAAGGGTGTAAGGGCATGTTAGAAGGGTGTAAGGGCATGTTTGAAGGGTGTAAGGGCATGTTTGAAGGTGTAAGGGCATGTTTGAAGGGTGTAAGGGCATGTTTGAAGGGTGTAAGGGCATGGTTAGAAGGGTGTAAGGGCATGTTAGAAGGGTGTAAGGGCATGTTAGAAGGGTGTAAGGGCATGTTTGAAGGGTGTAAGGGCATGTTTGAAGGGTGTAAGGGCATGTTTGAAGGGTGTAAGGGCATGTTTGAAGGGTGTAAGGGCATGTTTGAAGGGTGTAAGGGCATGTTTGAAGGGTGTAAGGGCATGTTTGAAGGGTGTAAGGGCATGTTTGAAGGGTGTAAGGGCATGTTTGAAGGGTGTAAGGGCATGTTAGAAGGGTGTAAGGGCATGTTTGAAGGGTGTAAGGGCATGTTAGAAGGGTGTAAGGGCATGTTTGAAGGGTGTAAGGGCATGTTTGAAGGGTGTAAAGGGTGTAAGGGCATGTTTGAAGGGTGTAAGGGCATGTTTGAAGGGTGTAAGGGCATGTTTGAAGGGTGTAAGGGCATGTTTGAAGGGTGTAAGGGCATGTTAGAAGGGTGTAAGGGCATGTTTGAAGGGTGTAAGGGCACGGGAGAAGTGTGGAAGGACATGGGAGAAGGTGTTAGAGCATGAGGGGAGGGTGCAAGGGCATGTGGACAAGGGTGCAGGGGTGGCTGGTGAGAATGGGGTGTGTGAATTAGATGGCACAGTAATACTCTCAACAGGAATACTTTGACTGGTACTCTCTCGAATGGTCCGTTGTACTAATACTTTGTCCTTCAATCTTCCGACTCTCAGGCCACTCACGCCTCTCATTTCTCTCAGGCATCAAGCCTCTAAATCTTCTGAAGCCGCCGACTCACAGGCGCCTCAGATTCTCCAGCAGGCTGAGGAACGACGGCATGGTGCTCTGTAGACTGTTGTGACTCAGATCTCTGCAGACAGATAGGCGGGAAAGGGGAGGGATACGATAGGGGAAGGAGGGAAGGAGGAAGAGAAAGGGAGAAGAAAGGAATTGGGGAGCAGGGGGGGAGGGAGGGAATGAGTGAAGGGGCGGAGAGAGGAGGAAGCGAGAGGGAGGGGGCAGGGAGAGGAGACCGGAGCAGGAGAGTTGAGGCAGGGGGTTTGAGATGGGGGGGATGGAGTGGGAGGGGATAAGCGGTGAGAAGAACTAGTAGTTTTAGACTTCGTATGTGAGCAGGGTATGTGAGGGCGAAACAGCAGATTGTGATGGCATAATCAATCCTACATGTCTCTTTTTTTTAACGGTGATGCTAACCCCCCTCCTTCCCACCCCCCCCACCCACCCACCTTAACCCCCCTCTCCCCCCCCCCCCCACCTTCCCTCCCCCCCCTTCCCCCTTCCACTCCCCTTCCCCCCCCATCCCCACCCCCCCCCTGAAAAAAAAACAAAGCACACGGCCATTGCAGTAACTTTCAGTCGTTCCAGCTGGTAGCAGCTTCTAGAAGTGCGATTTAAGCAGCTCAGAAACGAAGGAAGATGGATGAGACGCGTACAGGAAAGTGAGTGAGTTCAGTCGGCCCAGGGAGGCAGGAACGTCCGAAGTGAGGCGGTTGGACGAGAGGTCCCTGTGGGTGGAAGAGAGGACCGCCAGTCAGAGGGAAAGCATCATACCAGAGAATTTTTACCATCAGGGCTACAGTTGTAACTGAACATGTGGCTGGGCCGTTGGCGGAGGGAGGAGGTGAGACTCACAGGAAGCGCAGGTTGGGAAGCATGCCGAGGCCGGCCGGAATGGCTCCACTCAACGAGCTGTTCCTCAGGTCCCTGTGGTGTGGAGGGCGCAGGGCACAAGGGGAAGGCGCATTGGAGGAAAGGGTTGGACTCTGAGTGGAAAGTCACTGAGGAAATGATTTGCACAGCGAGCTGCCACTCAGGTGCCTGGACAGGCAGAGCACGAAGACAGGGTGCACGGAGGGCAGGGGTGTCGATTGAAAACGTATTGTGGAATGGGATTCATTGCAGCGATTTGTTGATCATGTCCCAGGCTTAGGCATATGGGGAGGAAGCAAGAGGGGTTGGGAGCAAGGGCACGGTGGGAGGGAGCAAGGGCATGGGGAAAGGGCTGGAGAAGGGGTTAGTGATTGTGATGGTTGGGCAGTGGCATGGGTCACAAAGGCAGGACTGTGACTATTACCCTCTCTCTTCGGTTACGACTCATAGGGTGTGTGATTCAGATCGTTGGGCAGGAGGTGGGGGAAGAAGGGGGGGCGGCCCACCCTTCAGGCCTCAGAACTCTCCATTCTACCATTTTTCAGGCCTCTACTCTCAGAATTCCAACTCTCGAGCCTCTCAAGCCCCTGAATCACCACCCATCTTATCGACACCTTCTTATCCGCCCAACCCTCGAGCCTCTCGAGCCCCTCGAGCATCCCAGCCCACTGACTCACAGGCGCCTCAGATCTCCAGTAGGCTGAGAAAAGACGACATGGTACCGCATAGGGAGCTGGGACTCTTTACTCCCTCAAGCCACTCAAGCCTCTCACTTCTCTAAAACGCCAAGCCTTGTGAGCATCTCAAGCCGCCGACTCACAGGCGCCTCAAATTCTGCAGGAGGCTGAGGAACGACGGCATGGTGCCCCGTAGGGTGTTGTGACTCAGATCTCTGCGAGGAGGTGCGGGAAGATGTGGCGGCAGCAGGGGAGCAGGGAGAGGACAGGGGTAAGGGAGAGGGGTAGGAGAGAAGGTATGAGAGAGGAAGGGGGAGGGGAGAGGAGGATGCAAGAGGGAGAGGGAGGGGAGCGGAATAAAGGGGGGGAGGGGGAGGAGGGCGGGTGGGGTAAGGAGAGGGAGAAAGCCATGAGCATGGGTTAAATGCGACGGGAAGAAAGAGGCAATAACAGAGGGGGTGAGGATGAGCAGGGAAAATAAGGGAGGTACAATTCAAGAATAGCTTTCACATAAGGCTGGACACTACAACTAGGATAATCGTGCAAATGCAAAAGTAGCTCTGCAGGATATTTCTTACACGAGGGAGAGAGACGTGAGAGCACTGAATGTGGTGGGAATGTACCCACGTAGAGAACAGTTCGCGAGGTTGCTGTTTTGGAAAAAGGAACAGCAGGGGAGGAGAAATTCAGGGGAGATGCGGAGAGAAGGAGAGGAGAGAAAAGGAGGAACAGTACCACCCATGCTGTAAGGGACTAAATGTAGTTGAACGTACACGGTAAAGGAGAGGGTGAGAGGAAAGCAAGATTGATGAGACCTACACGAGAGTGAGGGAGGTGAAGCTTACAGGAGAGTGAGAGTGGTGAGGCTGCCAATCTCGGGAGGAATGCGGCCGTTCAAGTGGGTGTTGCTCAGGTCGCTGCTCACGACGACCATAAAACGCCATTTTATTCAAAGTTAATGCCATGGAAAAATATCCCCTGAGAACGCATGCCATGTGAAGGCATGCCATATGAAGGCATGCCATATGAAGGCATGCCATGGGAAGGCATGCCATGGGAAGGCATGCCATGGGAAGGCATGCCATATGAAGGCATGCCTTGTAATTGCATACCACGCAAAAGCATGCCAACTTAGACCATGCCATGAAAAGGGCATGCATGTGAAACCATGCCACGTGAAGCGATGCCATGAGGTAGCATGCGATGTTGAGGCTACATGGCATGTGGCACCAATCAACCCTGAACGGAGACGATCATGTGATGGGGATATGGAGACACAATTGCATGCGTTCAAATCAATGCAGAACAAGGTAATGACAAAGAAGGGCCCACAGTGGAAGATTCAAGGAAACAGTAGACCATAACAAGTCACCGTGCCTCACAATGCCACCACCGTGCCTCACATTGCCACCACCGTGCCTCACATTGCCACCACCGTGCCATTGCTGCCACAAGTCACCCCTTGCACTTGGCTGCAGTCCGCCCCTCCACTCCACCCTGCGGGCGCCACTCCCCATGCCCCCGCGCTCGCCGCCAGAACTTGTGCTGTCAGAAGTGAGGGAAGAAGAATTGAGGCAAAGCTCACACGGAGATATGAGTGGGTATTCGCTGAGGTAGCATAGGAGGTTTCTCCCAACAAACATGCCGGAAGTGAGGGTGGATGCATGAGGAGTCGAAGGAGGTGAAGCAGCGAATAGGTGCAGCTTTGCTCACGTAGTGTCATATACCATGGCATCACTCCACATCCCATCCCAGCCTGTTCCATCGCATCAAATTGCATGCCATTGCATCCTAACCCATCCCATCTCAATCCATCCCACCCTATCCCATCCCATCCCATCCCATCTCATCCCATCCCGTCCCATCTCATCCCATCCCATCCCATCCCATCCCATCCCATCCCATCCCATCCCATCCCATCCCATCCCATCCCATCCCATCCCATCTCAATCCATCCCATCCAATCTTAATCCATCCTATCCATTCCCATCCCCATCCCATCCCATCCATCCCATCCCATCCCATCCCATCCTTCCCATCCCATCCCATCCCATCCCATCCCATCCCATCCCATCCCATCCCATCCCATCCCATCCCATCCCATCCCATCCCATCCCATCACATAGCATCCCATCCCATCCCATCCCATCCCATCCCATCCCATCCCATCCCATCCCATCCCATCCCATCCCATCCCATCCCACCCCATCCCATCCCATCCCATCCCATCCCATCCCATCCCATCCCATCCCATACCATCCCATCCTATCCCATCCCATCCCATCCCATCCCATCCCATCCCATCCCGTCCCATCCCGTCCCGTCGCATCTTATTGCACCGAACCTCATATCATCTCATCTTATCGCACCACACTCACAACGACGACACCAGTGCATCACATCTTATCGCCGCTCACATCCACTTTATAAGAAAACTCACTAGCTTAAACTCTTCTGGCGCTATCCTTTTTTCCCTGACATTTCCATGACAACAAATCTCTGTGCTCTTCCGGGAGGTCAGATCATCGCGACGCACCCTTGCTTCCATTCTCTCTATAATAGCTTATTTTTCCAATACATAACCTTATTGAGTCACCTTGCAGCGCGTCTATCGGCACGACGGGTCCTGCAGCATGCACAGGGAGGCTCGCCAGGAAATGAAGCGCCAGGGCGACAGCGAGAAGCGGAAACAGCAATCTCTCCGAGCAGTTCGTTGACTCGCGCGACACTCTCCTCGGTGCCGCATAGTAGAAGCACGCCGAGCCCTGCCTCATCGCAACAGATAGACCCGAATCGCGACGTTTTTGCGCTGGACGAGACTCGTGGGACCGCGCCAGGTGTGGCGGCGGCAGAGGAGTGAGTAGAACAGCTTTCGATGCGTTGCTTTCAGCGGAGCGGATCAAGGAGGCTCCTTTGAGAGGAAATGGTGGTATCTAAAAGTACTGCTTGCGGACGATTCTAGTAGTGAAACAAGTTTAGAGTTTGATGCATCTACCGTGCTCTGGATTCTTTGAAATTGTCGGACCATGTGTGGATTTCAAGAAAGCTTTGCACAAAATATAAGGAGCTGGAAGGAGGAATTGGGGTCTGGTCTTGACGTTCGTCTTAATGCGGCTTTATGAGATCGTTTACGTTGTAGAACGGTCAATTCAGTATTTTGCTTGGTCGGGTAGGGTGAGAAATACGAACTTGTGGGAGATGGAGTGGATGGTAGGGAGGTGATTGGATTCCTTCCACACTTTTCTTTTCTCGTAGTGCCCTTTTTTAGTCGAAACTAAGAGAGTTGAAATTGATTCTAGTCAAAGTTGTTTTGTCGCTCCACGCTCAGCACTAGCACTTTAAAGTCATGCTGGCTCATTTTTAGCGCCTGAGGGAATCCACACTTAGTGGGTTCGAATTATTGGCTGCCCAAAGTGGGCTAGAAAGAACGAATGGTTACTTGAAAATATATTTTTGGGCGCAACCAAGTCCAATTCCTTGTACAGCAAGGCGCTGGCGGAAAAAGGAAGGGTGACAGGGTGGATTTCGTTTGCGAAGCGAAGTTTCTGGCGACGCTTGACGATGCCAGAAACATGGTTGCAGTACTGTCATATGTCGCACCCAACAACAACATTACAGCTAGGACTAACAGCTACGCGATGCCGATCTTGCTGTTCCAAGCACAGATCTACGCCCCGCCGCATGATATCTGGACCAAGGTGAAACGGGATGGTATACCTCAGCCGACGAAAACTGCCGCCCAATTTCGCGGTTGCGATAGGACAACGAACCCCCTCGGGATTGACGAGCTCCTGACGACTTGCGAGTGGCAAACTGGGGCGACCTGGCAGTCCTCTGGGGCTCTGAACCCCTCGGGATTGTCGACTATCTGACGACCTCGGGTTTCGCTGAGAGAAACCCGAGAAGGATACCTCAGCGGACCCTGAACCACAGCTCGACACGTTGTGCGCCGAGCCGCGGTTACTGCCACGTGGCTTAGTAGGGACGGCCGAGATCGAGCCTGACAATCGGGAGGTGCCACGACGGCGCCGACGTGGCCCCGCTTCGCACCACCGGGTATATTTCGCTGCGCGCAAAACTTGTAACCATCGTCCACGCGGCGAAAGACGACTGGCATGTGTCCACCACCTAGATAGCCAGAGAACGCGGGGTATTGAGATGTCGGTGTCGCCCGAACATCCAACCGCAGCAGCACGACCCACGCGGATGGTTCTGTGTGGACCAAACAATGCATAGGCGAAGAGAGCCCCAGAGTCAGGGAATGTCGACGTCGACCAAGCCTCCGGCCACGCGCCTACTCGCAGGTCGATGAGGCTTGCGCAGGAGAGCAGGACGCTACGGCATTTCGGGAGAGTGGAACTAGGTGATTGGCCTATTGCACGTGGCGCACGTGAATTCCACCGTGGCAAGGCACCGGCGGGAGTGCCGTTGAGCGCAGAGCGGCGTGACACTAGACATGCATCGATCGTGACACGTCATGCCCGTGCACAGCGGCGCTTGCAAAGAGGGCTGCGTGGAGCGCGGCAGGTGCGCAGTGGCTCGCAACCATACCCCTCCTTGACCACGCACAACGCTCTCATTCTGCCGGTTCAGCTTCATGTTTCTCTCATGCTCCTGTGCGCCATCTAGCACTTCGTTTTGTTCACAAGACCCTCGCCATCTCTGCGGGTGTAGGTTACTCGACGGCCGAGACGACCGAGCGGCGGCACAAAGGCGACGACCTGGAATAGACTGCCATAGGTCGGTGTTGGGGTCGACCATCGTCGACTTCGCCTTACTAGGTTCTAGGTCGTCATCTAGGAAAGTCGACGACGATAGATCAGGGCGACGATAGCATCTCCCAACCTTACCGGGTCGGCGACGCATGGCCAGAGGAAGGGCTAGTGCCCAACAGCCACAACAACTTATCCCACCCCCCGCCGATTCGGTAGACGACGACATCAAAGCGCAACTGGAACGACTCGAGGTCGACGCTGAGTTAGAAGCACTTGAGAGGGAATTCGAGGAAGACCGCCGCAGGACGATTAGGGCGTACACCGCACCCGTGAATCAGTACCATCTCTGGTTGACCAATCTTTCCCTCTTCCACGGCCGGCGGTAGAGCATACGAGCGGTCATGGACGACGTCGACATGCCCGACGTTGGTACCCCAACCGACCACAGTCCGTCCTCTGCCCCCGTAGAGACGCTGAAGTTGCTTTACGATCTTGACAAACTTACTCAGATTCCCGAAGGGGAGTACACCAAGGACATACCGAATCCGCCAATTGGGGAGTTTACGAAGAAGTCGACACCGACGGCAGATGGGCAGACTGGACCTTCGTCGGTGCCCGCCGGCTCGGAAAACCAAGGTGATAACGACGAGGAGGACGAGGAAGAGAGCGACGACGAAGTCGACGACCGTCCTCCGCGTAGCACGAATCCGCGCACCTTGGAAGAACGCCTTAGGCGGGAATTTGAATACATACGTGACATGCTCGAAGCGGACGAGAAGGAGGACGATCAGCACATGTCGGTGCCGCGCAAAGGGTGGAAGGCGACGGACTTTGTAGTGGACGACATGGTGTACTCCAGCATTGACGTGCTCATAATGGACGCCCTACGACACCTACAATGCTTGGAGAAGAATAGCACGCTCAGGCTGTACACCGCGTTCATCTACCACTACAAGAAGTGGGCGGCGAAGATGCTGAAGCAGCTACGCGACAAGCTACCCCATGAGCAACGACTTAGGCACGTCGACGAGATCGGCCACTACATCCGCGACAACAAGAAAGAGGATTGGTGCAACGAGAAAGTGGTCCGCCGACAGTACATCTGGCTGCACGGCCCTAGGGTCACCGAAACCCGGCTGCGCGCCTACGTGAAGCAAATGAGCCGTGAGTGTAACCTCATTGTTGACCAGCCCGGGGAGGAG